GAAACTTAACAGAAGACCATGGGGGAGGGGAAGGGGAAAAAAAGCTAGGGAGGGAGGGAGCCAGACCATTAGAGACTCTCAAAAACAGAATAAACTGAGGGTTGATGGGGGGTGGGACGGAGTGGAAAGTGGGTGATGAGCATGGAGGAGGGCACCTGTTGGGATGAGCACTGGGTGTTGTATGGAAACCAAGTTGACAATAAATTTCATATTAAAAAAAAAGAATTTTTAAAAAAATACTAAAAATTGCTACATTGTTCAAATTGAAAGTTGTTCTCTGAATGGCTCAAACCACAGCCAGGGGCCAGGAAATAAGCCCAGCTACTTGACTCGACTCAGTTGGTTGGCCATCTGTGAGGTCTTGGGTTTGGCTCCCCCAAAGGCACACGACCCCGTTGAGGGCACGTGGGTGACGTCACCAGTAGGGTCGCAGGGAGACCCACAGCCGGCAGCCACTCCCTTCTCCTGAGGCGGCAGTGCCATTTCCAACGTTGGCGCATCCTTTGGCGAGCATCACCAGTCAGAGCCTGAAATGGGAAATCTTGTCCACCCTGGGAGGAAGCCACTCCTGATCAGGTTATTATCAGACAAGGAATAAACGGTCCTGACAGTCTCCATTTCACCAGGCTGAGGCGAACGGTCATCCAGCCTCCCAAGCGTAATGGTTGTACTGGAGCAGGAATAGATCAATTCGTGCCAATTGGATCATCAAACACTTTATTTTTTTAAGTTAGGTTAGGATCCTACTTTTTTTTTTTTAATTTTTAAAGTTTATTTATTTTGAGAGAGAGAGAGGGCACAAGCTGGGGAGGGGCAGAGAGAAGGAAAGACAGAACCTCAAGCCGGCTCTGCACCCTGAGCGCAGAGCCCGGGGTGGACCTCGAACTCAGAAACTGTGAGATCGTGACCTGAGCCGAGATCAAGAGTCGGATGCTTACCTGACTGGGCCACCCAGACGCCCCGCACCAAGCACTGTAAAACATACTGAGAGGAATTTAGGGTAGACACAAGGTGAATCTGAGAACAGATTCCCAAGAGGAGGCTTGAGAGTATCTCTTGTGTTTTCTGGGACTAGGGCTTCTGACACCTGGGGGGCAAATCTGCCCGTGGTTCAGCCACCGCACCATCTTGTGGCCTTCAGAGTCTCCTCCCTGGGCCCCCACATACAAAGTGCCACCCCCGGGAGTGTGGTTGGTTGGTTTAGCGTCTCCCCGCTCTGCTTGACTTCCTCCTGGTTGTCAAAGCCACCGGGCTCTCAAGAGTGGCAGAAGGAGGGCCAGACAGAGCCCGGCCCCGTGATTCCCTGCCCTTCATGGTTAGCTGGCTTCCGGCAGATGCCATCTAAGCCAGGAGGCAGAGCGCAGGCTCCTGTGGGTGGCTGGGAGAGGCTGGCAGCTAAAGCGCCGTGTCCTTCCTGCCCCCCAGAAAGATTTGGGCCTGGGACTTAGGGACCTAGACAGGTCGCTTCCCCCAAATCACGAATGGGATGTATGATAACCGCCCAGTAGGGCTGTTGAGACAAGCCAGTGAAATCTGCCTGGGGGCCCTCGGAAGTGATACCTTGCATATACTTATCCAGACGGACTTGGATGCCAGTTGCAAAGTGTGCTGTGGGAGGTCTCAGGAGCTCTCTGAAGCTGCCTTGGCGGGGGCTGTGTCTTGGAGCGGGGACAGATAAAATGACAGCGCTGTAAGGCAGAGGGGAAGCAAGTGACCCCGTCATTCTAACTAACAATGTCTTGTGGAGATAAAAACAACAGGCCCGGGGCGCCTGGGTGGCGCAGTCGGTTAAGCGTCCGAC